TCAATAATCTCCACGTTGAACGAGCAGCTGTGCTGCTGCTGTGACCGAAATAGTCCAGGCTGTTCCTGTAAGTGTGCCCTGTCAGATATCCTCTGTTCTGCTCCCGCTGCATGTGAACTCTGCTGTAATTAAGGCTAGTTTGGGTGCCTTTGTGCCTCTGTGTGGCTGGAAGTAGGTCACTAGCACAGACTGCAGATTCAGGCGCATTGAATACAGGTTGTCCTCTTGGGAGATGCATACTTTGTCTTGTTTTTTGAAGTTGTTATTTAAATACCTTCTTATTTTAGGGCAATACATCTCTTCTGCAGTTACTCACTCGACGCATACTCAGCACACCTTCAGATCCCCTTTATTCCACACTATAACTCCCCACTGTGTCTGTGGATAATATTGATATTAATAGCAGACCAGATCAAAGATTTTGAACTCATTATCTCTCGTCGGTTTTCATCCGTATTGAGTGTTTATTGACGGGATCCGTGCATGTTGTTTTCCACAGCCTCGTTCAGATTTGTTCTAATTTTTGTTTCCAAGTGGCTGCACGCGTGCTTCCCATGTGAGGAGCTTTAGGGCAGTGACGCAAACAACACAGAGAGAGACAGAGGGGGGAGAAACTGGAGAGGAAATGTTGAGTTGAAATTCTGACTCTTAAGTTTGTCATCCAGAGTAATAAAGTGATTCCTCTCCTAAGTGATGCTTGACATGTTAACCTTACAGTGGCTTATATTTTTGTCTCGTCATGCAGCATCTTCTGGCTCTATGTGTCTCTATCTTTCCATTCTGACTGACTTTGTTATCAAGGGGGAACCTCACAGCCCAGCCCCAGATGTATATGCAGCAGGGTTTTCCACACAGATATGTGTTATTTAGAGCGACCAAAAAAGCTGATACTTCTGAAAATCCCAACTGTCTAAACCTTATAAACAGGCTTTGATGGTTTTTTTGGAGACAAATACAAAATGAATACAGGTCTTAATAATGTATAGCAAGATTGAACCCCTTAAATGTACTTTAGAGAACATCTCAGTTTTACACAAATGTCTTGTCTCCATTTGTTTGACTAATAACAGCTATATATAGTTTGGCATTTCTCCTGTCATTTGTCGCTATCTTGATGTACTTCTTGTCAGGATACGAATTTTGGATTATCTCTAAATTATACATTTGAATTAATCATGTCTTAAAACTTTTTTAAAAAGTGTTAATTTTCCTATTCTTTATTTTTTTAAATTTTTTCCCTTTCCATTTTTCCCATCAGTGGAATAACAAATTCAAAGAATATATTTAAATGTTTTAACTTTACAGAACAGTATTTGGTTGGGTTATGGTTGCTGTAGTAGGCTGTCAGAGTCATACACTTACCTAAGACTGTAAAGAAATCCTTACTTTTATCATTATCATGATATACCACAAAATATTATGTTAGGATTTTACGTCATTTTACGCCAGCCCAAGTTTAAAACCAGAACTTTAATGATCAAATGGCCCATTTCTTTTAGGTCTGACCTGCTTACGCAAAGACATCATCTATCTAGTGACAGGAAATTACTGGTCTTCAGCTCGATCAGCTCTGATGATTGTACCAGGTGGTCAGAAATTGGATCATGTTGTGATCAGTGAATATAACATCATGCAACACCAACGTGTCATACTAACAGCACTTGTTTGTGTAAAGATTTGCAAAGAGAAGATTTTACGTTAGAGGAGACACAAAAAGCTGTAAGAAGAGATTTAAAAGAATATTTAATTTCCTACAGCAGATGGAGACGGGGCTGTGAGAGAGAGAGAGCAAGACTTTCATATGATAACAGGAAGGCTTAATGTGTTGTATCTAAGTATAAGAGTTATAATTTGAGCTTTTTAATCTCCATAATTTAACTGGTCAGATTGAAAATTGGGATTGATAGCAGCCTTATGGAACTATGAGTTGATATAAAACAATAAACACAGTTAAAAATGTGTCTAATGTGATTTTTTTTTTCCCTTTAGATTAGTCAAACAGTTTTACAGTGATTGTTCTTACACACACAGCATCCTTCTAGTCTAAATAACTGACAGGCCACAGCAGAAAGACTAGAAAAAGATATCTCCTGCCTTATTGTTCTTTAAAAATTTAACTCTTTTTTGTGTTATTTTATTGTTCTTTAACAATAAAATATAATAAATCAGAATTAACCTAAATCTGTAAATTGGTCAATAGAATCAGACCGGTTCATGTCCAGATCATTCTGGTTGAAATGAAAAGCATACAAACTCATTTTATCCAACTTTGATTCCATTTTATTAAAGCTACAGTGTGTAATAATTACAGGGATATACAGTCAGAAATGTAATATATTATACATAACTATGTTATTTATCATCATCTACGAGCTCAGCCTCTTAACCTTAATATTTTCGTTGCCTTAGAATTCGTTATTTATAATTACATAGGAGCGGGTCTCGCAGCCATGGAGGCAGACATCTTTGCGCTACGGCAGCGCAGAGCCAACAAACTAGCGATTGCGAGATCGCCCATTACGCTCGAAAGTAACTACGGCAAGTTGAGAGAGATGACCTGAGACGGTACTGAACACACAGACTAATGAAATACTATCTTTAAAATTATCTATGTAAACAAACCTCATCACTTGAGAAGGTAGGCGATGCGGACGTCGTGGAAGACATTTTGTCCCGTAACGCTCGCCGTACTGTTGGGGGGGAGAAGCGGTGGGGGGGAGATGTTCATGCTGCTGCGGTCTGCAGTCTGGGGGTTAGATGTCGCTGAAAATTACACACTGTAGCTTTAATTAAATGTAAAAAAAAAAAAAAAAAGTGACCTAAAAACCACAATAAAACATAAGGATTACTAGAATGTCCAAACAATATATTCCTGATACTGATACACAGATCTCCAAATTTTAACGGATCGATTAACCAGTGATCAGCTAATCTAATTATAGAAACAAATATAATACTGTTTTTAACCTTAGTATAACAGCCTTAAAAATGGGTGAATATTATTTAGTTCATAAATAGTATGCTTTTGATTATGGATTAAAAAAAATGTTTTTATAAAGGAACCTGGGAAATTCATAATTTATTTTATGCTCAGGGTCCTGCTTGCATGTATTAATTTAAACAAACTCAAAAACAGCAGGAAGGCCTCAGATAAAAAGAAGGGATCTATTATGCTTGATCAAAGCGCTGTATGGTCGATGCACCTTTAATCTCTGAACCTTTTATGATTCTTTTTTTATTTGAGGTTTAAAAAAGCTGCAATTCTGTACTTTTTTAGACTGTGAAAAACTGTTTCACTTATCTGATTTCTGTCAGATTTCAATCCCTCACTGACTAACATGAATCAATGCTTATTATATCATTGACTCAGTGAACCCTCCATCATAATTTGTCTGAAAAACAGTTATTTTATTTTAAATATATTTTTTCCATTCAAACTCCCTGTTTATAGGCTTGTTGGTGAGAAATGGTGAGGTTCACGACCATTGCATGCTGAGCTGCCTCAAAACTCCTGCAGGAATTGAAATAAAACTGATCTAACTTCTGAAGAAAGTGTCTCTTGTTGTTCCCACCTATAGCTTATGGATGAGAACACTCTTTGTGTCGGGGCTCGTCTTGTGGCCTTATGCAAATTAGTTTCCTGGCAAAATGAAGCTCAGGTAGATTTGCCAGTTTTACAAATGCTGCATTTCAGTCAGTACAAAAACTAAATGGCCCTTTAGTTTAATCATATAAACATGTCTATTATGAGACGCAGTCCTACAAAAACTTAAGAAAAGAAAAAGAACATCATAGGTCCTTCCTTGTTTGCCTCTCTGTTGCAGTTTTGTCTTATCTCAATCACTAGACTTTGGACAATAAAGTCAATACCTGTTTGTCAGACTTTAAGAACAATATAAGTGCCTTTAATCTGTTCTGTGGCTTCTTGTTCAATATTTTAGATCCATTAGGTGAAAGGTGTCTCTAAGCAACCAGGGACAAAGAAAGATATATTGTAACTGGGTATTTTATTATTATTTTCCTTCGTATATAAGACTATAGCTGGAAGTCCTGCAGATCTGGACCAGCTAACACTGCTATAATAACTGTGTTTGATGACCTAGAAACACACACTATCCTGGAACTTACATAATGCCTTCATTACCAATAAGAAAGTTGCTTGCAGTCACTGGTATAAAAGGATTTAGTCAACCGCTTGCAAGTTATAGATCAGTAGCTTCAAAATGAAAGGGTGAATGCAATTATGACAGCCTATTTTACAAAGACACTCAGCCACAATCTTTTTTTTTTTTTTAAGTAATTAAAGAGCAAAATGGATGCTGTGTCTCAGGTGGCGGAATTGTTCTGTAGGTGCAAATCCTTGTCAAGTCAGTACTGGAATCTGAACACAGCCTGAGCAAACATTAAGTGGGGAATCAGCAGAACGTAAAAGGTTCAACAGCACCTCCATGTGGCAGCGGAACATAAAACAGTTTTTCTATAATATTTTTTTTTACTCTTCTAAGAGTACAGGCTACCATGAGGAAAAACAAAGAAAGCTACCTTTTTAATTTGATTAAGAATGAATGGAACAGTTCTCTTGATCCTGATGGTTTGTAAAGTTCTCCATCTACCAGGGAGCAACCTGTCTGTGCTTTTGCTCTGCAGATGCTGGCAGCATAAGTGGCTGCAGTGATGGCCTCCTCCCCCTGCAGCCTGTCAGTGCAGCTGTAATTGTGCCCCTCATCAGTGTTGGGCAGGATTAAGTTCATCATGGAATCAGTCATATTGATTTTAACATCACAGTAGATCAGTGATTCTCATGTCCCCAGCTGGTGTAACTTAGTTTAAGACACATTCATATTTTTGAAGTCGGCTTGAAGCTACAGTACATTTCTTTTTGCATATCTCACACTAGAGATTTAGATGATGCTCAGGTTTACTTATAAACTTATAAATTACTCATAAACTCACTTGATGTGGTTCTGTTTTGATCTAAGTGCTCTTCTCTGTCTTTGCAGCTTTTCAGGGAAGTCAGAATAATGAAACTACTGAATCATCCTAATATAGGTGAGTAAACATGCTGCAGCCTGATGAATCTGGATTAACCAGTTAAAGCAAGACTGCAGGACAAAACTAAACTCTGTAACTCACTAAAAAAAGATTAGATCTAACAAATTTCTATTTTTCTTTTCCAGATTTTCTTTTTCCTGAATAGGCTCTTTCTGGGTCTTATTAATGTCTTTATTAATGTTAATGATCTAATTTCTATTTGAGATATAGAAAACATCCATATTCGGAAAGGTCTATATATTGTGGCATCTTAAGTTGAACAAATATACCTTCCAAAAATGTCTTTAGGGAAAGCACTTATGGTATTTCAGTCTTTGTTCGGTGCTCTGACAAAACTACAACACCCAGATATTTATTCTCTTTTTCTAGAAATTCTGAAATGAATTTTTGCTGCTATAATTGATGTTTATCATTAAGAATCATAGTTTTCATGCTATCTGATCTCATTGGGGGTTTTTTTGTATTTAACACAGGTATTTGGTGTAATTGTTAGACGGATAAAAAGGTCTTGAGGTGATAGAGTTAACCAAATGAAGCTTGCAGAAACTCTAAATACATAGCTTGATAGCCCAATTCCAAACTTCTTTCAACTTTATTTTTGAATTTTTGACTCTTTCTTTTTTCTGCAGTAAAACTGTTTGAGGTAATTGAAACAGACAAGACACTTTATCTGGTGATGGAGTATGCCAGTGGAGGTGAGTCATGCCTTAATGTATCTTCATTACTGGGCCACAATGTATACGTCTAGAAGGAAAATGAAAAAAGAATCATTAAAAATATATAATGTTAAGAGAAAACCAAAGATAAATGCTTCAATGCTAAGATCATATAACATCCAATCATTATTTGGTGTTTACTTCTTTTGCAGGAGAAGTATTTGACTACCTTGTGGCTCATGGCAGGATGAAGGAGAAGGAGGCCAGGGCCAAGTTTAGGCAGGTGAGTCACCAGTGTTGCAGTGCTTTAGGCATCGTTGCTTTATTGTTTTGCAGAGAAAGGCTGCAAACACCAAAATCTAGCTTTGTCACTGCCTGCAGAGGGAAGGTGGAATACCTCTACTTCCTTTGAAAAGCCTACATCCCTGTTGTCTCTGCTGACCCCTAATGGTGCCTCATGTGCAGCAATATTCCGTTAGTTTTTCTATGTCATGGCTGCTTTTAGTACAGCTATCTGTTCCCTGTAAAAAAAAAAAACAAAAAAAACAATTATTGTTTGTATTGGTAACAGAAGTGTTTTGATGAACTTGTTCTGTTTGTTATAAAATGCATGAGAGGTTGATTGCATATGCATTTTTCTGCATATTCCGCATATTCTGGAATTTGACAGTGAACTCTCTTATACTCATGAACTGTGTCACTGGATAAATCACTAGATAAATCTGGATTTTGCATAAAACATGCTTTATTTCAGGAACCAATCATTTGATGGATGTTACAGGCATGCCTCCATTCTAGAACTCATTACTGTTCAGTTTTATTTTTATAATAGAATTTGCAAAATAAACACTTTTATTTTCTTTAAGCTAGTATGAACATCTTAACAGCTGTACTATTCAAATACTATTGAAATTTTGCACCAGTGATGTCATAAAATTAGAAACTAAACAAAATGAAAACAATTATAGTAGTTATTGAAACTTGGAAGCAGGTGACATTTTATTAAGGGAATTATTATTGACCTCCTGTGTGATATAGTTTTATGTTTTTAATGCTTCCTAAGTTAAGGTTACCAGATTTCTGAAATCCAATCTGGGGACATTTCCAGCTCGTAGATAAAACTAAATACATATAATCAAAATTAAAATAGGAAACAGGGATATCCATACATCCATTTTTACATATTTATTAATATTTAAACAGCAAAAATCCAGTGTAAAATCCAAGAATTTACCTCTCCTATTTCCTAAGATTAATAAAATTAATCAATCTATACTGTTTAATAGTGCCATCTGGTCATTCAGTCTTCTGTCTTCTTCACTCTCCATATTTTCTTTCTAGCTGACTATGGCCTGCTCTTTGTTTTAATCTTCTAAGTAGAATTTTTTTCTTCCTTCTTTTCAAATGTTCTTTCCATCAATGTTCCTATTTCCTCTGCCCTCATTCATTCCTCTTTCTGTCAGTCTTCTAATCTTCTTCCTCTCCTCTTCTATCAATCTTACACTGATCTTAAATAGAGATATAATACAATCAAAATCCCTTCCAAACACATATAATTTTATCATACCTTTTGTGATTATTGTGATGATGGTGGTTGTTATTATTATTGTTATATCACCTGATTAAATATTAAAAAGGCTAATCGCCACAATATTTGGAGCTGCAATTAAAAACAACCTACAGTAAGAACTGAACATTAAACAGGTGGTTATCTCTTCCTACATCATTCTCAGATCATGCAGATCTTGTCTCATTCAGCTTTCCTTTTACTGCCTCTCATTTTGTATAATCAGGAACTTTCACATATCCAAACTTGAGTGGTAGAAAATTAGACCCTGAGCCCGGGAGTCTATGTTCATAGATCACAACCATAAAACAGCAGAACAACTTATTACTCTACTTAAAATTACTAACTGTCTTAAGATATAAAATAAAGCCGGGCATACGCTGAGCGATATTTTTAATCGTTGAACACAGCTACAGCTCACACTGTACGACGAAAGTTCACACTGTGCGATCCGACGCTCTGATGCGATCTACCTGCTCACACTGTACGTCTAAAAACCACGTCGGACTCGACTCCGCAGTGAGATGGCGCTACTGGGAATTGTCTATCAGGAAGCCAAACGAGTAGAGGAGGAATATGAAGTTCACTATAGAGAAACGTGCTGCATTGGCAATTTCTGTAATTTTGTGTGCTGAACAAAGACATGGCTGAGCAAATGTGGCTATTACAGTCTGTCAATTCTACAGAAAGAACTCTATTACACTCAGACTCTCGCCATGCTTCTGTGCTTTTGTCTGAGAGGAAGAAGAAGAAGAATCCTTGTTTGCGCACTGAGTGATTTGCCCACAATAGCCAACTGAATTTCAAACATGTTTGATTTTCTCCTGGCCTCACGATTCCTGATCGGGAGGTGGTTCTGAGTGGCTGATCGACCCTCATTACCCCTTGTAAACTACACGATGCACGATCAGGCTGAAAGTCGGCACGATTTAAAAATTCTCGCACGACTGGAAAATCGGCCCGAAAAGGGCAAAAAATTGTACAGTGTATGTTCGGCTTAAAGGTCACCGATCAGTTCCAAAAAAGATCTTTAGACGAACCCTTGCTGATCGCTGGGGAACAACCACACCAGAATAGCGCTTTACAAGGAGTTTTCATTCATTCTGTTTAATTTTATGCCAGCTGCAGCCAATGGTTTGTCTTACTTTCTGTTGATTAGCTTGGTTTATTCATTGGCATATATTTTAGTCCATTATCAGATCACGAGAGCTGTTTTGTTTTGTTTTCCAAAACATTGAATGCTAGAAATCTGCATATCATGTTGCTAAATTGCTCATTTAAATTTACATCTGAAATGTTGAAAAATACAGAATGGAAAACATTATTGGTCTAAGAACATACAGGAAAGTGCAATATTTTTGCGATACTTCTACACACTCTATAGATGGTTAAAATAAACTGGTATCTATTTCAAAATCAAACTAAAGATGTTTGGTGCTAATAGAAATACTCAGAGAGAAAATATGGAAATATATATATATATATATTATTATTATTATTATTATTTTTTAAGATCAGCTTTAATGTAAATTGAAAAGTTATAGCTGTGCCATGTCAGCCTCCCCCTACATGAGGAACGGTAAAAATGGCCTATCCTTCTGCATTAACACACACTGAGAAATAGGACAACAGAAACAGAGAAGGAGGAGGTGAAATGGAGCGCTCCCTTTGTATCAGCAGGAATTTTACAGGTTTGTCTATAATGCTTGTCTGTGTTTCAGATTGTGTCTGCAGTGCAGTATTGCCATCAGAGGAGGATAGTGCACAGGGATCTAAAGGTAAGGATGTCATTAAAGTGTCTCATCTTCTGCTCATATCTTAAAAAAGCATTATTTATTGGCCTGTGTTTTAAATTTTTTAGTTTTTAGAGTTCTAACTTCTATTCTTCCCTCAGGCGGAGAACTTATTATTGGATGCAGATATGAACATTAAGATAGCTGACTTTGGCTTCAGCAATGAGTTCACGGTTGGCAGTAAACTGGACACTTTCTGTGGCTCCCCGCCGTATGCAGCTCCTGAACTCTTTCAGGGAAAAAAGTATGATGGTCCTGAAGTAGACGTGTGGAGTCTTGGTGTTATCCTTTACACACTGGTTAGCGGATCACTACCCTTTGATGGACAGAACCTAAAGGTGGGCCTTTTTTTCCTGGAAAGCACTGCTACCTCCATAAATAAATCCTAGTAGCTTAAAAAGCTTGAAAATAAAAATAAAAATTCCCAGGGAAAAAAAAAACATATTACCACTGTAGACTTTACTTTATCTTAATTCAGCTCTATTGAAGCAGATCCTAACATATGCATTATTAAAAAAAAGAAAATAGTCAAGGAATACATTAAAATTAGGAAGATCACAAATACTTTTGACAAATGTTCAGATTTAAGGGGAAACTTGAGACATTTCAATCATCTATATATTATTTTCATTTAAAGATTCATTAAAATATACTATATGCTTTATAAAGAAAATATTTCTATTTTAGTTGGTTTAGACCTTATAAATACACCAGATTATTATTTACCTTAACAGACTTTAATTCCAGATCAAGATAAATATCTAGATATCTCAGCTTTATTATTTCATATTCATCTATAAAATGTTTAAAAATAAAGGTCTTTAATGTATTTAAACTTGTATTGTTTTATATAGACAGGTGGTTCATTAAGCGTTTTGTTTGATTATACTTGATTTTTTTTTTTAATATTAACTTTACTGTTTAGTTTTAATGTTTGTGTTTATTTTTTGATTGCGTGAGATCTAAAAATGATTACCTGACTGTTCGTAACAGAAGAAGCAATGATATGTGACTGTATATCTATCTGAAATATGGCTTAAATATATCTACAGTATCTTTAATATATAAGTTCCTTTCGGTGTCTACTTTAAATATCAGTAACATAATCCCCCTGGATCAATGATCTCTCTTTGCCTGGTGTGCAGGAACTTAGGGAGCGGGTTTTACGGGGAAAGTACCGGATTCCCTTCTACATGTCCACAGACTGTGAAAACCTGCTGAAGAAACTTCTGGTGCTCAACCCCGTCAAACGAGGCAGTTTAGAGGTATTGTCATTGGTTTCCTCTCATAGTTCCTGTTTTTTTGTTGTCATTAATAACTAATATTATAAATTTGTTTTTCTAATTGTAGTGTAGAGTGCAATATTTTTTAATGATCTCCTTTTCTTTTTTAGCAAATCATGAAAGACCACTGGATGAATGTGGGTCACGATGATGAAGAACTGAAACCCTACATTGAGCCAGAGTCTGATTTGAATGATACGTCCAGAATAGGTGTGTTTTGCTGTACGTAGATGCCGTTTATTATTGTTTTTAACTGTTCAGATTCAGATCCTTCACTTTTCTCCTTTTCGTCCAATCAGAGCTCATGGTGACCATGGGTTTCCCTAAAGAAGAGATCACTGACTCACTACAAAATCAGAAGTACGACGACGTTATGGCTACATACCTGCTGCTTGGGCGAAAAGCTCCTGAGGTGTGTTTTAAAAAAAATATTTATTCTTTTTACCTTTTCTGCATCCTTTTTAGTGGCATTCAGAATCTATTATGACTAAAAGCCCCTCATTGCTCTTCTCTTATGCTGCAGTTTGAGGGCAGTGAGCCGCTGGCCAACAGCGTACTGGGCCAGCGTCAGCGGCCAACCAGCGACATCAACAACAGCTCCAGCGTTTCCCCTGCCCATCCCAAGGTCACACGCAGCATCTCGGCCAATCAGAAGCAGCGTCGCTACAGTGATCATGGTGGGGATGATGATGGTGGTGGTGGTAGTGGTGTCGTAGAGAAGCCAAGTAAAGTAACCTCTTACATCCCGGGTCTGAGAGTGCTACAGACTGCGTGTTGTTTAGGAGGAGGTTACCCTGAGTCACTGATTACATGGCGAAGGATTGACGGTTCAACTCTTGAGAAGGGCAGAAGAGGAATGATACTTCACACAATGTTTAGAAATGCAACAATGTCTAAACATCTTTGTTTTTGTTTACAACAACAAAGATGTCAATGTCAAATTCAGATTAAAAGAAGACAGAAATCATAAGAGATTGGTTTCAAAGCTATTTCAATTTCATTATTGGCATACTCAAAGTTCAAATCAGTGACTCAGCTTGAATACCTTTCTGGTTGCCAGGCAGTTTCCTCCTAAGTCATGTGGAGCCATTGTTTGTGGCGCCATCTTGTGGCAGGCTGCTTCTCTGCAGCTCTGGAGAACCTCAAAGCATGAGGAGGAACAGCAGCTCTGCTTCATACTTGCTTACCTTGGCTTCTGTAGCTGTTAAAAATCCAAAGTATTGTCGTCTTGTGCCATACCTGAAAAATGTGATCCTGTTTAAATCCTGGCTTTGAGTGGCTTTGCTTTATGCCCTTGTATTAAAAGGCCTTGTCCCTGCCTGTGGTTGTCAAAAAATGTTAAATGTTGAAAGCCTTTTTTTTAGGAGGTCCTGTTTAAAATATATTTACATATGTGTTCCTTTCAGTTGGACCTTCAGTGCCTCCTGCCGTATCATATTCGAAGCGCAATCAGGCTCTGAGTGTGGAAAGTGACCACAGAGAGGAGTGGGACGGAGCACGCCGGCTCGAGCTCAGCACCTCCAAAGGAGATGTTCCTGCTTCTCCCCTCGGGGTGCAGGAGAGGAAGAAAGCTTCAAGTGCTGTTGGGGTGAGGAAGTAAATTGACTGCAGTTAGACTGCAGTGAGATAGTTTTTTTGTTGTTTTTCTTAGTAGGACTGTAAGATGTGATGTTATTTGTAAAGATTGCCTTTTGCACTTTTATTATTCACTGACGTGGCTGGAATATCTTTGTTATAAGTTATCTAGTCCTACTTTTATTCATCAAAACTAAGAAAACAAGTGTTTTGCTGCCTTTACCATAATCACATGGGGCTGCAAATAAACTATTTTAATTATCTGTTGTTTCTGACATTAGAGCAGGATGTAATGGTTTTATCACTACTTTATATAGTCACATAGGTTCTATTAATTATATCTGGAGTTTGTTAGTCTGGGAGTAAACAGGTTAGCGTGGGTAAAAAGTGTGGGATTATGCAAGGGTAGAAAAACTGACCCATATATGGAGGCCATAGTCCTTGACACAATCATCCTGGGTTCAATCCTGACTCTACTCACAAAAAAAAGGCGACTGCTCCAGCAAAAACATGGAAAGGTCATGTCATCACAGATGAGGCTGAATTTTAGCTTTTGTTTTTTTTTTTTATTTTACCATGCAGTTGTTTTTTGTTATATAAAAAGTCAGAAGCAATTTCTTTGAGAAAGAAAGTTGAAAGAAAAGGAATTACTCTTGCCTTTATGCATTTGATCAGTGGGCATATATCCTGTAGAAGGGAAATAAAACTATTCTCTCTTTTCCTTTTTGCCAACAGACCAATGGTTCAATGACTCGCAGAAACACGTATGTCTGCGAACGATCCTCCACCGATCGCTATTCAGCCATCCCCAACGGCAAAGACAGCAGGTTAACCAAACATGGGATTATTTAGTCCTCTTTAACACATTTATAGCTATACTTCATATTTTTTGCTCTTTTTATTCACTATAATACTCAGATTAGTCCTCACATATTGATGCCCTCTGCTTTCTATCCTCAGTTTAACGGAGGTGTCAGGAAGCACCACCTCCACGCCACTGAGTTCTACGCGACCCCGTCACACCAAGTCCATGTCTGCGTCAGGGCACCCTTCAAAAAGCACGCTGCCCCCCATTGATGACAATACGGAGCTGAAAGCCAGGTGAGCGGTTCCTGAACATCTGCACTGCCAGAGGCTGATGCAAGAAACTCCAAAATATTTCAATTATTAATGACTGCTTATGTCGCAGCTCCTCCCCACGCGATCCGTCCACCTCTCCATCTGTGCACAGTATTAGCACCCCTGAGAAGAATCGTTTCCCCCGCGGCACATCCAGCCGCAGCACTTTTCATGGAGCTCAGCTCAGAGACCGCCGCAGTGCTACGTACAACGGCCCCCCGGCGTCACCCACACTATCCCACGACACGGGGGCTCTCGCACAGCAACGCAGGGGGACGTCCACGGGAATAATCAGCAAAATCACCTCAAAGTTTGTCCGCAGGTCAGTGAAGTGTAATAACTGATATTTTGTAATCAAACCGAGTTGAACCAAGAAATCAGCTGATTATCACACAGTTTTAGTTTGAAAGGCCTCGACCAATAGCAGGCTGGTTAAGCAATGAACAAGCCATGTCTTTAGTTGGTTAGGAAACCTTATGCCAGTGGTAGTAACTTACGCTTACAGAAAAGAAGCTGCTGTGGAAGCTGTTACTGGGGGAATAAGACTGAAAATTAACCATTTTCAGTGTTGTTAAGATGTTAAAAACAAAGTCAAAGTAGCTCATACAGGAAGGAGAGAGGTAAACTACGTATAGATAATAGGAAGGCCAAACAGATTTTCTCTTTGAGCTTTCAGTTTCTTTTTGTTTTGGTAGTCTTATTAGAAAACGATGATTGAGAAAAGTGACTTGAGAAAAATCTTCTTGCTTTGATTATTTACAAACCTAGACCCTTGATCTTTGATGCCCAAAGTTGGGGTCCTTTATCAACAAGTATGGGGGTCTTTAGATCCAATTCAGAAAATTAAACTAATTAATAAATGTGTTTAAAAATACTTGGACACAACTAACTACTTTGTTAGTTGATTTTCATATTATTAAACCAATGATTGATTATTTGTAGAGGCGTTCATGTACTCAGCCAATAGTTTGGGGTCATAACTCGACTCTTGTGGGTCAGAAACTGAAACGGTTTCAGCTACATGCCAATAACAAACTGCTATTGAAAAAGTTGCGTTTGATCAGATATTTTTAGACCCAGTTATTTCCTAATGGCCTGCTAAAACATTTACTGTTGCATTTAAACATTACAAAACATATTAGGTATAAGGAGAGCTGGGAACCATGGTCCTGCATATGTATTATCCGGTGATCTTTACCCCAATCTAAGCAGCTGTTTGCCACATGATATTCCAACCATTTAAGAAATACTATATATTGCCATATATATTTAGAAGCCTTTGCTAAATTTGAAAAATCTTTGATGTCTGGTCAAAGGAATGCTAAGAAACGATGTTTGCAGTTATTATACTTTCATTTATTATGGTTGTTAAAGAGAAATAACAATGGTTTAAAAACAATGTTACCAACAACAATGATGGGTAAAAAAGCCAAAGGGTTCTGATTGGTGCATCTTTAAAGAAAAGCCTCGATGGGTACTTCTGCCGCTGTCTCTTCAGTCTACTGAACCTCTTCATGAAAGTGTCACTTTTAAGCTGCCCCTTGCTTGTAGATTACAGCTTTCTCTCCTTTTTCTCCCTGCATAGAGCAATGTCTTTCAGGTCAACCCGGAGGTAGGAGAACCTAACGCTTGCTGCATATTGCCCCCTCCTCCTCCCTCCCATCTACAACTATAACTCAGAAAAACACCCCTTTTTGCCCACGATGATCCATGTTTTTAACTTCTACTTGCCCACCACATCCTCGCCTACTGACACCTCTGTTATGCCGTGTATTTCCACTCCTTGTGTCCTCCTTCTTAAGGCCCAAACTTCACCGGTTTCCAGTCTTGTCTCTAGTAAAGCCACTAGCTGTGTACGGCTGTCGTTGCGAGCTGTCCTCTCCTTACTCTCCCCCGTCTTCATTCAGAGCTTCAGACAAATGCTTGCATTAACAGAAATGGAGCTGTGTAGACATGCAAGCACTTTTCCTTCCTTTACATGTCAGTGGAGATTAAGGAAAGGTGTGTTACAACAGATGGGATGTACTTATGGTTTATGCCAGCTTTACTGATGAAAGGTCACCACAGTGTGTGCTGAGCTCTGACACCCAGGAGCCTGGATTCTTTCCTGGCATGATGCCCGACACCCTCGTCTGTGTTCAGTTATGATTGAGCTGGTTTTTGGCAGTTGGTTGGTTGGTGGGTGGGTGGGTGAGTTTGGGGGTTGATGTTGGCATTAGCTCAGCTATAACGAGTCAATTTTGGGTTTATTTCAGGGTGCCTAGTGAGGGCGAGGCCAGTGCCAGGACTGAAACACCAAGGTGAGAATTAAACTGAGGTGCTCACACCACGGTAGGGATTTAATGCTCTCAAACTTTTGTGTGATGATATTTGTTTGCAAATTTTAATGCTGCTTCCAGAATGATCACAGTTTTAATTGGATGTTGTGAATAGTTGATAAAAGTACTAGCTGTTTTTGTTGCATTGAAATTCAGACGATCCGGTTTACTTGGTTTTTTTAAGAGATGCACTTTATTATTCTATCTTTTTAAGCATTTAAAAATTGTTTCCTTAGAATGAGACTGAGAGAAATTGTACAAAACTTTTAAATCACTTGCAGGTTTTTAAAGGTACTATTTAAACAAAGTGATTTTAATTTCACAGAGTTGCTAGGGGTTATAGACCCGCATGCTTTTGACAAAAACTAATTCCCCTGGCTGCTAAAAATATTCTAAGTTCGACACTTCTAGTATATTATTTGGGTGTATCTTTTTAATTCATTTCTGTAGAGTTTGTGGGGGTGTTTTTTGTGATTGGATTTGCAAATCTGACAAATTTAACTTCTGCAAAATATTGTCATAAAGGAATTGGCTCAAGCATACCTTTCCCCCAGCTATTCACTTGGTTTCTATAGTGGAGAGTAAACTGCAGGGCTGCTCTTATGAGTTCTGAAATCTTAAGACTAAAAAGGAAAAGGAAAGAGCATTTGCATTTATTATACATATTTTTTCAATTATAATTTAATGACTCTAAATCAGAACAAGGTTGAAAACCAACACAGATGAAATGAAATCAACTACTGCAGACTAAAATTGACTAAAATACATTGACTCTTGATCAGGTTCTGTCTAAAAGGTTATTGAAACTTTAAAACATTGCATTGATAGGTCAAAAACACAAAGAAAAGTGTTGAAAATGAACTGAAGTTGTAGAAAGTGATTGTATTTTATATTTTTTTAAGAAGGGCATCTACACTCTGCAGCTGACATCCATCTGTGAATCGCTTATGAAAACTACCCCCAGATAAATTGAGTAGGATATAGATTAGGAGAACATGCAGGGTGGCTATCACATAGTTCTGTAACTTTCAAAAAAGCGAATATCTGCTTTCCTTACTAAGGAGCTGGTTACACAGAGAACTTGTTAGTATTTCTGGCTGTCTTGCAAGACATTAAAAACCTCTCTCCTGCAATGCTGGTAACATTTCATGAAATCCGACAAGCTGCTTTGCAAACTAAACATCTAACTTACTTGGCATTCAACGCTGGTGGCTGCTAAATGAGGTAGAGGACTCTCCGTGTCATTTCCTTCTGCATGTTGGAAGGGCAAAAAAAAACATCAAGGAAACTTCAAAGGATCAAAAAATAACTTAATTTAAGACTGTATGTTTGCCTGGTTGTATGAATATCCCACCTTTTTTATTTTTCACTACCTTCTTTTTGCATCTTCATCTATGGGGGAAAAAAAGTTTTATTTGCATTTTAACCAATTATCAAGCCTTCCTTTCACAGAGAGTCTGTATCTAAATCCTGAAATAATTAGGATTATTAATTTAATTCTACCTATATAATGGGTTCTTCCAGGAGTGCGTCTGGTGACTCCAAGGAGGACGCCGGTCGGGACTCCAAGCCCCGCTCGCTCCGTTTCACCTGGAGCATGAAGACCACTTCCTCTATGGATCCCGCTGACATGATGCGAGAGATCCGTAAAGTCCTGGACGCCAACAGCTGCGACTACGAGCAGCGTGAGCGCTTCCTACTGTTCTGCGTCCATGGCGATGCGCGCCAGGACAATCTGGTCCAGTGGGAGATGGAGGTGTGTAAGCTGCCCCGCCTTTCGCTTAACGGCGTGCGCTTCAAGAGGATATCAGGCACGTCCATCGCCTTTAAGAACATCGCCTGCAAAATTGCAAATGAGCTCAAACTGTGACGGCAGATGGAACACCGCGCGAGCCTTTCGGGTGAGCTGTGGTAACGCTCTACTCCCATCACTGGATTAGTGTTGACTCACAGGAAGAAATCAGCACTGAATTCCCACAACCCCACCGCGCAGAATCGAGGCGGATTCGGCTGGTTAAAGTGCAGCACTGGCCTGCGAATGTACTGTACAGGGTAGGGTGACTAAATCCGATAGCAAAAACCAACTAACTCCCTGGCTGTTGTTTTTTTTTTTTTTTTCTCTCCTCTCTTCTCCGTACCTCCTCCCCATCAGCCTGCTGCTCCATGTCAAAGGAAGCAGTCATGTATCAAATGCAGTATGCAACCGAAGATGACCATCCGGCAATAAGTTTTCACTCTGTTTTTCTAAATACTTCTAAAATCTGCTCTCCTCGCTGAATAACCATTCAATTACTGTAAGCTAAAGTAACCGCTTTTCCACCTATGTTAAGGCAGTATATAGATCAGGCTGGAGCTCATACTTAAAATATGTAAAAAGAGAATTGTACTGTATGCATAACATCTGCAGGTACTGTACTGTATATTGATTTTTAGTTCTGTACAGAATTTTATTGTTAATACTCTCCTTTTTTTCCATGGGATTTAGTTATTTCATTTAATTCAAACAATTTGTTTCTTTGAGCATTCCTCTTTATGTCTGAAATTATTTTATTCTTTTTGTTTTCCTTGTTTTCAGTTTTATTTAAAGAGGACTAAATTATTTTGTGGATCACAGAGGGATGCAATATTCCCTTGCCTTTTTACATTTTTTTTTTTTGCCTATGGAGAAAAACAAAACAAACAAACAAAAAAACACTAAGTTGCACCACACAAACTTGAGTTGTAAGTTCAGTTAAGGCTGAAGACGTGATCACTTTATTTTCTCCCTGCAGTACGAGCCCTGCTGCAGTTGCACAAGTATTCCAGGGTGATCTGTATGAACATGAGTGTACACCTCTTGTTTCGTTCATGTTAGTTTGATAGTCTCCGGTTACGAAGACGCAGTTTAAACTGGTTTGCTTTAGGACGCAATATGTTGGACGTCTCTATCCAAAGGATTGGTGATGCACGAGAAGCCGGATGACTGAAACTTTACTGTGGAGCCTTTCTAAAGAGCCAGATTTATACTTGCTGCAAGTGTGATTGTGCAGGTACTTGTGTATCTCTTTACATTTTTTTTTTTAATTCAGTTGTATTTATTCCATTACGTTGTAATGTGCTGCTTTGTAGATTTGAGGCGTGCACTTTGTCGGAGAAGATTAAAAGAATTTTATTTGTTTGTATTTAATTTCTTGTAGTTTTTTTTTTTATTTAAACTTCACAAATCTCAAAAGGTGGACAGACATTATCTGCAGTCTCTATTCAGAATGTAAGCTTAGTTATACAATGCAAGAAACTTAGATGAAAAAGACACTTTTATTGACTCTAAATGACGAGTCTCATCTAAGTCAAGACAGAAATGATGTATTTTGCGCACATGATAGTTATAGAATATGAACAGCAGTCTCTTTTCATTTTTAGTGTCTTTTTAAGAGATTGTTTCCAGTTATGAAAAACTGCTCAGTACTTTAAACACTTTACAAAGCATTAACAATAAAAAGTTGCAAGGACATACGGGCAGATTCACAATATGTCTGTATACAGGGATCCTACTCGGTTTGGAAGAAGATTCCAGATGTTTTCCAGGTCCTGAAACGGCAAAATAAAAATTTGCCTGAAATATTTTGCATTTCAGATTTTCTAGAGTTCCACTGCTATAAAGTTCACGTGTTTGTCCATCGGTCTGTCATCTAAACAATTCATTAATTCCTTTGTCCGTCCATCCATCCATCAGTCCATCTGCAGTGTTTTACCTGTACCATTCTGACCCCTGCTGAAATGTCTGCCAGAAAAATCAAAGTAAACTTCTTTCATAAACTTTTAGGAATCGGGATGGACCTTTGCAGAAAGACGTGACAAAACATAAAATATGCGTAGCAACCTCTGTGTTTATATTCTTCTCATAAATCCATGTGATCAAATCTCATATTGCCCCTCTCTTAACTTACAAAAAGGCTTGATTTACAAATCTTATAGTATACAAATGGAAGGACAGAAAAATGTAAACATTGTGTCTAGGCAGATTTGTTCAGTTAAAATATGTTAACAGTTTAAAAAGTATAACTATCTTCTGTAAAGCATTACACTTTAGAGAATAACTGTATAAACTATATTAAGTATAGTAAAAGCTTGATCATGAATGGATATAAACCTTTGAAGGCCAATTTTAGATTTTTAAGTGTTACTGATGGTTTGCGTCTGGCCTTTCATGCATTAACTCGAAAGAATATTGGATGTATCCTAAACTGGGATGCATGCCTCTCAGACATATATTTGGGTTAAGAAATGTACTTTTTTATCTTTAGAATGATCATGCAGATTGTGGTATGAATTTAAAAATGAGTGGATGTAAATTTATAAAGTGAGGACCATAAATTGTAGTTTTTTAGCGCTCCAATGGCTATTACAGACTTCTCCATGAACACGACAAAATATCACAAAAGTCACTAAAGGTTCCATAGGAAAAAACACAATCTCTCAATTACTCAGGTCAATGACTAAATGCTCGTAGATCTGAGTCTTTCCTTTGAAACTGGAGGCCAGCAGAAACTGCCGGTTGTCAATGGAAACTGGAGAAAAAGCCCTTGGCGCCTGAATGTTCAGCTCCTGGAAGCGAACAAACTCGCCCTTCTTGGCATCCCAGCGGTACACCTGGGTAAAGGAGTAGTCGCTGCCCAGAATGGCATACTGCCAGCTGCCCACAGTGAAGGGCTGGAACACCATGGAGCCTCGAGAGGGCATGGTCTGTAACTCTCTGAAGAGGGCCCCATCCCATCGCATCACCTTGGAGTCTCCGATGAAGCGCGTCATGCAGATGTAGAGATCAGATTTGACCTGAAAGTGCTTCACAGCATAAACGTCCTCCATCTCTGGGATGTCTGTTCGTCTGTCGAACATCTTGGTGGCTTTGTTCCACTGGTAGATGACGGGCCTCTGAGAGCTGCTGGACAGGATCAGGTGAGGTTTGGATGAGATCTCGAGGTATTCCACATCTGTGTCACGGTACCACTGATGTAGGGACTGGTGGGAGTAGAAGCCGTTTCCATTCCACTTGTAGATGGTGGTGGAGCCGGCCTTGGAGCTATCTGCTATAACAAAGAAGGACTCTCCATCAATGCGGAACGTCTCTACGTCATTTGGCTTGCGGATAGTCAGGACGTCAATGCCTTGAAGCTTGATGAATTTGTTGGCAGAGGTGTCCCGCTTGTAGATGTGGGAGCCTCCGAACAGCTGAGCCACAACGATGAACAGCTGGTTGTCAATGACTAGAGGCTTGCAGATGACAGTGGATGTACCTGAAACCAAACACAATCGAGTCATTCCCATCGTCTCCTTATGTTAGTTCAACACTTAACCCTTTCACTTTACTTACTGTCAATATCATCAAAGTTTCTAAAGTTCATCTCAACATGATCCCATTCAAGGAAGCCACACTTCCCAATGAATGGCTGGGCGAAAACAACATACTGGTCATTCCTGAACGAAAATGCTTCCACTGATATGGATTCAAATTTCAGGGACTGGTAGGGAGAAAACTCTGGGAGAGAAACAGAAAGCAAAACACTTTACAGTATATAGTAAATGTAAAATCTCCAAAGACACGTGAGAGGTCAGTCCTCCACCTGTGGTGATGCAGTCGAAGGACTGCGGCGACAGGTCGTTGATCCTCTTGTCCAGCTGTGATGCTGGGCTTTTGCAGTAGATCTGGTCCACAGTGGCGTTGGTGCTGTAAATCCACTCTACCAACCACTTCAGCTTACAGTCACACATGAAGTGATTCCCACGCAAGTCTCTGTGGGAACAAAATCATTGTGTGAAAATATGAGTGCTTCACTCCTCTTTCTCAGTGAGTTGAACGCTCTAAAGCTCCAGATGGTGGCTAACTCTCAAATCATCTTCTTGAGGTTTCATTAACCTCAAGGAAAAATGAGTATCTTCATTTGATGATAACCCGCAGCCTTCCTCTCTTCCTTCTCTCCCTCTAGTGCATGTAATTTTAATGGTGCTAAAAGCTTCAGCTGCCTACGCATTTGTCAAGGCTTGACAAAAGAGGAGCAATAAATGATGCATTGTTCTAGAAATAGAACATTGTATAGACGGCTAATCTTTCATTGTACAATATTAGAGATCACACAACCTTTGTGTTATTAGTTTCTTTACTTCACATACAAATTATACTTACACTTTTGTTAAGGCCTCGAGACCTTTGAACAAATCTTTAGGGAGAGTCTCCAGATTATTGTAGGCCAGACTCCTGAAGAAGAAAAGAACATGCTTGACTATAATTTTCATCCCTAATTCAAAGTCCATCAACAACTCTATGATAAACTGTTAAAGCTTAAACCTTGCTCTTAAAAACAAAGTTCAGTTTTAAACTACTTTGCATATATATATTTATATATATATATATATACACACACACACACACACACAGAGTAAAAAAGTGCAAGTAGCAGAAAAAAATCCAATATTTTGTCACTCATTTCAAAATACAGGTTTATTACACACAGCATTGAAAATGTTGTCGTTTTAATGATTTAGGGCTCATAGAAAATTAAAACCTCAAATTGATTGTTTCAGAGAATTACAAAAGTATACTATTTAAGGAGTTAGGTGGAAGGGAAAAAAGGTTGCTCAACTAAAAGAGGTAATGCGGGTCCGCTCCAGAAATTGAGGGAGCTTCACAATTAGAAAATTGAGGCTGAAATGAGCACATCAATAGCCGCTAGGATCTGATGAATCCTACAAATCGGAACCAGTATATTGCATTCTTTATGTCAAGCCACTGCTGCATCAGAGGGAACATCGCTTTTTCACGTTGCTGGGCTAAGAAAGAAGTGGACTATTCCTCAGTAGTCTAAATTTGGGCTGCTAGATATTCACTCTTTTTCTCTCTGTGTGGCGATTTCTCATGGAAACTTCATAAATGTAGTCATTACACTGCATTAAATATGTGCACAAATGCTCCTAATCTAATAATTATATTTTTCATTAATCAACTGTTGAGTCCGCTCTTGGACTCCATCTCCTCTCCGCTCAGGAGCAAATCTCTAGGAGAAATAGCAAATTTCTAGGAGAAATCCCTGTTGAGGTTTGAGGCTCATTCTATTGAGGTAAGCAGCGAAGAAGTAGAGCTCTGATTGGACAACACACCAAAATACGTCACTTCCGGTGAGGCTTAGCTTCTTAGGCGGTCTATGGAGCAGGGGTGTGTCATGAAGATGGCTGCTCGATGCTGATTGGACAACATACTTAAGGATTTTTTGAGGTTTTTCTCTTGAGTCGAGCGGGAAAATGTATCTTTCAATGAGAGCAGTCATTTTGTTCTGAGCTCTTGCCATGGTTTCTAGAGTTTATTAATTTAAAGTGCTTCACAACAGCTATTATGTTTCAGCATTTTTTAATACAGTACGTCACGTTTGGATTTAATCAACACTATTAACCCAATTAAACTCCACAAAGTAATTTAATGCATTTGCATATACGGATATTTTGTTGACTGTATTTTCTGTTATGTATTTTGCAGCCCTAATCCAAACTGTTGTTTTCAGATGAAAGTAAAGTTTGCCTTTCAATTGGAAATCAAGGTCCAGCATCTGGAAGGAGAGTGGAGAAACACAGAATCCACAATGCTTGAAGTACGGTGTGAAGTTTCCACAGTCTGTGATGGTTTAGGGTGCCAAGTCGTCTGCTGGTTTTGGTCGCCTGCTATTGTTTCGATTTTTTCTAAGTTTCATAGTCTACACAGTGATCAACCAGGAAACTTAAGAGAACATAATGCTTCCTTCTACTGATAAGTTACAAAGAGAGGCTGATGTTGGGAGACTGTGTTTATTACAACTACAAGCAATGGAAAACCCAAGTAAAATTCTTTTGTTGTAAACAAAAACTTTGCTGTTAAAGTTTATACTGATTGTGTGTGTTGCCAGAGCACCTGGTATTGCACATTTGCTGCATCCCAAACTCAATTTGTTAGATGTGAAAATGGAACAAGGTAAATTTAACAGAAACAGATACCAGTAATTTTGCAAGCTGCTGTAAATAAGAAAAAGTCCATGTGTTGGGCACTTATGTAACGAGGATGTTCAGTTTTTGCTGTCTTATCATTTTCAACTGCTGCACATTGTCTCTGTGGCAATACAAGCTGTGCAATAACCTTCCTCAGCGTTTTATAGGAACAAGCTGTTACTTCACACGAACATTATTAACAACATTCATCATGAAGATGCCATCTTGCTCCTATATTTTTTGCAAAAAAAAAAAAAAGTACATACAGGTGCACCAAGGTCTTCAGTCCCCGGAAAGCATATGGTGATATTGACTGGATTTGGTTGTTTTCAATAAATCTGGAAAACATGTACATGTACATGCATTAGAAAAGACTCATAGTCAAGTAGAAGGAATATTAATGATACAATTCAATGATAAACTTACAGATACTCCAGGTGAGGAAGTCCAAGGAAGGCGTCCTCGTTTATAGATTCCAGGTTGTTTGCTGTGAACAGGCTGTACAGAGATCCCAGTGTTTAGTCTCTTACAGCTGACTACTCCAAGAGCACTAAAATGAGAAAACCTCTTCCTCTGTCATCTCTTAATATTGACTAAAGCATTTTGAGGATTCCTGCAGGCAGCCTTACACATTAGATTTTATGGGTTTAGTCAGAGCCAAAGTATGACTCAGATAAAGAAGGAAATCCCCTGGAATACATCTGTGCAAGCAGGCACATACATGTGCACACATATGTATGTGGCAAGACCTAGATGAATAAAACCAGTCATGACAGAAATGAAAGAAAAAAACACAATGAGGTTTATTTTGCAGGGCTTTTTAAAAATCAGTCTAAAGTATTTTAGCAGAAGAATGAAAACGTCTTTAAAAAAATTAAACATGGCGTTGATCAAGCTCAGGAAAATTACAGCATGCAACAAACACCAACAATAAAAACCTTAGAATAGATTTCTCACAGCAGATGCAGGGCAGGGGTGTGGATAAAGCTCTCCTTGGCGATTTCCGTGAATTCCGACTTGACAAATGATCTGTGGGAGTAAAAATGCGACAAAATAACACGCCGTTCAGTTTAACAGCAGACTTGTGTCATGATAGTTATTGCAGTCTGTTAATGGGATTTAAATGAGTGCATTGCTGCTGCAGAAAAGCCACTGATCATGCATGTTTATAACAAAGCATAGCTTAGTAAAAAGGACTCACAGAGATGTGACATCGGGGGGAAAGCTGCGAGGAATCGACACTGCGCTTTCGCACAACGCGTTATCTTTGGTGCATGTGCATGACATGGGACAGCGCGGCTGCCTGGCTCTTTTGCTCTCCGCTGAAAGTACTACACACACCGCCGCAACTAAGCCGAGCCGCAGCAATCTCCTGGGTATTTTGCGTGTATTTTCCATCCTTGGGAATCGCTCTGGGTACTTGCGCCTCCTTCTCCCGTTGCTTCTGCTGCCAGGAGGCCAGGCGACGCGCAGTGCGCTCCGGTTATCTCCTCCTTCGCTCCTTCTTCTGGGGAGGGGAGGGTGATCGCACCCGGATTCCCCCTTCTCTGATGCACAGACCTGGACGAAAAAATACGAGCGCGTATCCTCTGTGGTAGAGATGAAAAGTAAGGAGAAGTGTGGAGCAGGGAGGAGGACGCCAGCTGGCCCGGTGACAGGCGCGGTGTGAGGGCAGGTGGGGATCCCAGCGGGAGCAGACGGAGCATCTCTGTCCAAAACCACGCCTATGGTTTCATCCAACGCTCCCCGCTCACTGTCTAACGCCCAATGGGGCAGGCGGAGCTGTGGACGCTGTTATTTTTTTCTCTCCCGTCAATCAGAATAAGCCCAGATAATCAATACTAAATAAACTATCATGACCCAGTGCTGCTTGTATATATGGCGAAGACGCTGCCTAAGCGGTCTATGCGGGAAGCGGGTTGGAAAACCGCGTTAAGATTGATTGTTGTCGGTTGATGGAACAAAAGCACCTGCAACATACCGTCTGATTGCAAACCCATTAGCATCAATCGCATTTACACAGTTGGTTTTGAGCATAACTGTGGCAAATAAATAGGTAATACGTGGCTCCCATCCTGGCTTCGGCATGGTTGCCATGGTGACCGGAAGATGCAGAATTGTTTGCAAGCAGGAATGAAAGGATGCGGGGAAGCCCTCCTGTCCTCAAGACATCTATGATCATGGAAAAAGCCAAATATCCTTTGGAGCTAAGGCTTACGGAAGAGGATTAGGGCCACTTGGGGGTGGGTGGGGGGGGGAGTTACCTGATTTTTTTAAATTTTATTCTAGTATTAGGAAAAT